GCGTTGGCGCTTATTTACACCCGGTGGGACCCGGCGAAAGTTTTGGGCATGTTCAAAACTTTGGCCGGCTGGCACCGGCCGCAAGTAAGCGGCAAGAGGACGGTGTTGAACGGTATGAGGACGGTATGAATACGTTATGAAAACGGTCACACTGTATGAACACGTTCACAACACGCTCATAACCCGTTGCAGAACGGTGATGGAAAATGGAGAGCGGACTGACCGTTGCCGTTCAAATCGGGGTATTTATGGCAGTCGTGTCATGACGTCAACAGTCCGGGGACTCGCTCACAGGACGCTCCGAGCGGTGAGGGGACGCTAAGTGACTGGTAGGTGGCTGCTACAAACCCGGTGCACACGTTCGAGACCCGGTATGGGCCCGGTATGGAAACGGCCAAAATTTTCAACTAAAGTCAATCTGGGCGGTGAAGACGGTAAAAGCACGTTCAACACCCGGTATGCGCCCTGTGAGAACGGTCAGAAGATGGCAACGAAACGGTGAAAAGATTAATTTTTATGAATTTTTTTTTGCGGCCGGGGACAAGTTCGCTCAAAACCCAACGTTCTGGACTGTTTTTTTTTTAATAGCCCGGCAGGCGGACGGTAGGCCTACACGGCAGAGTATGAGAGCTCCAATAGCGCGGATTTAAAATTCGGGCGGCGCCTGCTCACTTTCACTCGCCACCCAAACTACGCTCGGTGACCGGGCGCCGACCTAATCGAGCGTTCACTTTCGAGCGATTGAGGTCAAAAATCGAAGCCGCTAGGTCAAAGGCTGTCGAGCAGTCGCTGCCCGGTCTCCGCCAGGTCGCCGCTGGGAGATCAGTCGGTCGGCAGCCTTTGACCTAGCGGCTTCGATTTTTGACCTAAATCGCTCGGCGGCGAACGCCCGATTAGTTCGGTGCCGGGGGGCGAACGGCCGGGCACCGACCGTATTTTGGAGCCCCGCCGATTATTGGCCGGCCGCTGTGCAATATCTTTAAAATCATCCGGCGGCCGGTGGGAGACTGCTCGGGAATCGATGGGTCAGCGGTCGGTCTCTGCCGGGACACCGCGCGGAAAAGCTCCGCGATTTCGCTCAGTTTTTACCTAAAAACGACCGGCGACCGACGGGAAATCGACAGGGCACCGCCTGGTCATCGCTGGGGCTCTACACCCTGCTCGACTTCTCCAAAAATCGCTGGGCGATGCCTAAATTTCAGCGGCGACCGAGCAGGTTACTAATCGGTCGGTCGCCGCTCTGATTTGTGACCATAGCTTTAGACGTACAACAAATTCTCAACAACCAACAATTTACGCAGGTAGTCACCCAACCTACGAGAGGCCATAGGACAAAATTATCACGAATTATTCTAGGGTCTGTGCAAGCACAATAATTCTACCACCCATCGCCTCTAGTGACTATGATTGTGTAATGTGGATGCCTGTGAAAAATACAGAAATTCGCAATACTATTCGGAAAAAAATTGTAAGACCCTTAGCAGATAGCGGCCTCCGGGCATTCGGTAGTTGGATAACTAATCATACTTGGGAGGATGTCCTGCAAGCTGACAATCCATCTACAAAGTGTAATATGTTCCTGAAGGAGATCCAATCCCATCTTGAATTACATCTCCCACCCAAGATTATCCGTTTCCACGAAAGCGACAAACCGTGGATTAATGGTGAGATTAAGTCACTTAAACGTCAAAGACAACGGGCTTTTACAGATAAGAAAGAAAATAATTGGCGTTATCTGAGGAACAAGATTATCCAATCCATAGCTGCAGCCAAGAAGCACTATTACAATACAAGAGTTCGCAACCTCAAGGCTAACGATCCCGCAGCTTGGTATAGGAGAATCAAGATACTTACCAACAGTTGCAAAAATTATGTCCCAAGTACGAAACCGGGAGTAAAAGATAACAATTTAAGTTCATGTGAAATTGCAAACCTCATTAATGAACATTTCTGTACTATAGCTGCAGACTTACCAAAGCTTCAGAGATCACACTTACCTGCATTTTCCCTGCCCAATACAACTGTCCCCTATTACAACCATGGCAAATGTATAAATACCTACGTTCTCTTAGTCAAGGTAAAGCCGGAATTACTGGGGATATTCCTGTTCGGATCATTCGCGAATTTGCCTATGAATTGTCAGTCCCACTTACAGATATTCTTAATGTATCATTCCAACAAGCTGAGGTTCCATTACAATGGAAACAAGCAGAAGTAGTTTCTGTTCCTAAGGTGCACCCACCGAAACTTTTGGACCTTAGACCAATAGCCCTGACAAGCTATTTTGCTAAGATAGCCGAATCGTTTATTGCCAAGTGGCTGTTAGAAGATTTAACCAAAAATCTTGATCCTAATCAGTTTGGAAATCGTAAAGGCTTACCGCAACACATTACCTCATTGGTTTGATACACCAGATATTGTAGAATGCAGAAAAGGTGAAATATACATCAACGATATTGACTACATATTATTCGAAAGCCTTCGATAGAAAAAAAACCACAATGTTTTAGTTAAAAAAATCCTCAATCTCGATGTCAGATCATGCCTTATTAACTGAATAATGAGCTTTTTGGATAATCGATTGCAGTGTGTGAATGTAATGGAACAAAATCAAACCGGAATGTCATAAATACAGGAGTTCCACAAGGAACAAAACTTGGACCTTTATTATTTTTTATACTAATGAATGATGCTTGCCAAGATTCCATTATATCGTATTTCAAATACGTAGACGATTTGTTAATGGTAGAAAGCAGGAGTTTATGTAAAGCTTCAACATTACAAGATGAACTTCGCAAACTACAGGAATGGTCTGATAGGAATGATATGAAACTAAATGCCTCTAAATTTTCAGTTATGCAGATCTCCTTTTGTAGGCATGTTCAGTTATGCAGATCTCCTTTTGTAGGCAACCTGTACAACAGGCGGCCTTGTTTATTGATGATACCCAACTATGTAATGTAGAATCTCCCAAAATATTGGGTTTAATCGTACAGAGTGACCTAAAATGGAATAAACACGTGACTGACCTCTGGAAGAGAAGTTATAAGAAGTTATACATACTCAGGAGACTGAAATCATTTAAACTATCCATTGTAGATCTGATCACCATATTTAGAGGATATACAGTGCGTCCTAGATAAAACGAAACCGAGAAGTATCGATGTTCTATCATAACTTAATCACAACTATAATTAATGAATGGTACATATTTGGAAAGCTTAGAGTCTCCTCTTTCATTTGATGCTACTCAGATAATGCATATTTTACGCATGAGGGATTAAAAGCAATTTGAAGGAAGGAAACCAAAAAGACATTTGGCGGGCGGTATCTGAATTTCGAAGAAAAATTCACATTTCTAGAAAGTTGAGTTTCTGCCCTTTTATATGACACCTCAATCAAGAAAAATGAGCTAGGAATGACAAAGTTCTGTTTGTTTAAAGTGGTGCTTGCATTTCCATAATTTATTAAACGAATTCGTTTTCACTGGCTGCCTCCCGTATCAATAAACGAAATTAACAAAAGACTTAACTCCGTTTCGTTGACAATCAGCCGTAGACGAGAGTCTTCATACATGGCTGATTGTCAACGAAACGGAGTTAAGTCTTTTGTCAAATCTGCTTTTTGTTACGGCAGGCACCCAGTGAAAACGAATTCGTTTGTTAAAATTATGAAAATGTAAGGGCTACTTTAAACAAATAGAACTTTGTTATTCCAGGCTTATTTTTCTTGATTGAGGTATCATATGAAAGAACAGAAGGTGAAATATGCATCACGTGAGTAGCATCATCTAAAAGAGGAGACTATAAGCTTTCCAAATATGTATCATTCATTAATTATGGTTTTGATTAAGTTATGATAAAACATCAATACTTCTCGGTTTCGTTTTTTCTGGGACGCACTGTATAAGACCGATTGTAGAGTACTGTGCCCCTGTTTTCAACGGAGCTCTTACAAAACATGCACTTGAATCAATTCAGAAGAGAGCATGTAGAATAATTCTGGGTAGTAGTTATACTTCATACAATGTCGCATTAGAAACATGTAACTTAGTGACTCTTGAGGAAAGAAGAAAACAATTATGTCTTACGTTTGCTCATAATCTGGAAGAAAGTCCCTTTTCATCGAATTGGCTACTTAAAGTCGCTACTGCCTGAGGACAACAACAAAGTACACCCAGTACCATACCTTATAGATCTTCTAAATAATGAATAATTGAAATGCATTTTTACATAATGTATATATTAACAATGTTTGATAAATATTTTTATAATTATCTAATGTTTTAATATGTACCCAGGTATAATTTAGTTTTAACGTAGGAAACTAAATGTTTTACAACCTACTCTGGAATATGTTTATCATTTAACACAGACATAAATTTATAATTATGTACTTACCGTTGATGAACTAGCAACATTTTAATTTTCAATAAATATGAATTGTCAAGGACACAGGTGCAATAATTTCAGTATTAGTATGTTAACTTATTTGTATGTTATGTTTTTAATCACTCATGCGTGATATATACATCATATGAGTTGCATCAAATGAAAGAGGGGAATGTAAGCTTTACAAAAATGTGTCATTTATTTATTATAATTGTGATTAAGTTATGATAAAACATCGATAATTCTCGGTTTTTTTTTTTTTGGGGGGGGGGGGGGTCGCACTGTATAACTACATATTCAATCATAATTTGTTCATAATTCTTTCTTCTAAAAGATAACTCTTTTCATTAAAGGAAATTAATAACCAATTTAATTAAACAAATATATACATGAACTTTAAGATTTAAACCATATTTAAAGTTGAAATGAATTTTATTATATTTATATTTTACACTCAAAAATATTTATATGCAATTTGAATTTTCATTATTTCTGTGCTTTTATCAGTATTGTAAATCAATCGAAATTCAGTCACTACCTGTGGTGAAATGATAATGAACCTTTCAATTCAACTTAAAAATTGTTCTTCTTTATAATAATCAATCATACCTGTTAACAGAGCCGCAAAAATCAGACTTAGCAGTGTCACAGGCATCTTTGTGTGATCTTGAAACCGGCATCAGATCGGATGTAACACTATCCGGATGTTTGCTCCTGCTTCTCGGGATTCGATTGTTTCATCTGTCCTCAATCACGTGAGACAGAGAGAACCGGACTACCGTCAATGGGGAAGAAGAAAAGAGAAACAGACACTCCGAAATGTCTACAAATAAATGGTTAAGTACGCACAAAACACGAAGATATAAGTCTCAATTCATGGTGCTCTCATGACTGGCCGAAGCATGCATCAAGAATAATAACGCCTACGTACGCCTACCCACGATTGGCTGCTGAATATACGTCACGGTCGTTGAATAATAATTTTAATTTCACTTTTAATTTCCATTATTTTATTAAACGAATCCGTTTTACCAAGGAGTTTTAAGAGCTGGCGGCCCAACTGGCAACAATTTATTCCAAGCAGCTGCTGTTTTCTATGGTTGCACAATAGAATCTACTAGTGTGCCGTACCTTTGATGTCCGAGGTTCGAAGCCTCCAATATAATTGGAAAGCTTGAGTAGTGATTTTTGTTCACAAAGAAATATCCTTAATATTTCACTTTTTATTTGAACTAAAAAGGGGAAAATCGAACAGATGATAAAATATGAATAGAAAAGCCTAATTGTGTCAAGAAATTTGCTTACATTGTATGATAACAGTTTTATTTGTGAAAAATAGTAAAATGTTACAGTCCTAAAACCTGTAATTTGACATTTTCCCGATTACTTTCGGCTCACAAAAATAATTAGTAAATTTGTTCATGTACAGTTCTTTATGATGTTATATGTCAGATTAGTGCCCAACACATGCCCAGTCGAGTAATTTTGATTAATATTATAGGAAATTTTCTCCATTTCCTTTAGCTTGCCTCCTGTAAAGGTAAACACTGTGTACAGCTCGTATTATCAGACCAGTGGTAGCGAAAAGTAGTTGTCATTACAAAAGCATATTTCCCTTTGAAAGTGGCGGTTAGTTTGCAGCTAAGCAATATTTTTTTTATCTATGTATCTGCAAGGAAGATTCAGTTAAGCACATGCCTGACATATTTTTTTCCTGGCGGCATCGAAGATGTTAAAAAAGGAACGAGCTAGATATGACTCCATCTCTTAAAACTTCTTGGTTTTACTGGCTGTCTGCCCTAACAACAAAGAAAACGAAAGACTTCACGCAAGGCTGATCGTCAATGAAACGGAGTTTGTTGTTTGTTGCTACGGCAGACAGTCAGCGAAAACGAATTCGTTTAATGAAATAATGGACATGCAATCATTACTTTAAACAAACAAAACTTTGTTATTCCTGGCTCATTTTCCTGATTGAGGTGTCATACGAAAGGGCAGAAAATGAACTTTCAGGAAATGTGATTTTCGCTTTGAAAATGAGATACAGTTCGTTTAATGACTTTCTGGTACCCTTTCTTCAAATTGTTCTTAATACCTCATGTGTAAAAAATGCATCACATGAGTTGCATCGATTGAAAGAAGAGGATCTAAGCTTTACAAATATGTGTCACTTATCAATTAAAATTATGATTAAGTTATGGTAAAATATCGATAATTCTCGGTTTCGTTTTTTCTGGGACGCACGGTAGATACAATTGTATATACTCAGCGAAAAAAGAAAGTGGAAACTCTTTATTGTTCATAATCTGTATCATGATACAGTAATGTTTAGTATTATATCACTCAGATCAAGGCACACGTTAGTGTAAATAGTACAAAGAAAAATACACTGTATTCCTTCTGTTGATTTGCATACAGATCGACAGTTCACCAATAGATTTCATGACGTGCGACTGCCAAAGCGCCGTCATACACTGTTGCCAATATAGATGGTATCATATTTTCCATATCCACTCTTTTAACGGGCGTAATGACAATATATTATTCATCATTGATAGATAAAGTTTGTATCTTCTCAGAAACTTTACTGCTCAATCTCTATGATCCTATAGATTGATAAATTAAGTTTTGAGATCTGGTGTAAAATTCATCTATCAAGAACAATTCATATTTTCAAAATCAATTCATAAAGAGATGTTAAAGAACTTTATTTAAACTTTATGGGCAACAGCATAGATACGACATTTGAAAATTTGCTGCGCTTACTTAATATTCACTGTCTTATATCTGAAGACTATTATCATGAAAGCAAGTAATTCTGTTAGTTCACTCAAAACAGGAATTAAAACAAACAACAAAATGAGAAAGAAACAAAGATGTTGTTAGGAAACATTATTTTTTGAATAATATTTTTGAAGAAAAACTTGAATAAAAAACAAACAGGGAAAAATATGTACAATTATGATATATAACATTCTTTGTCACAACAAGAGCTACAGAAAAATGCAAGTTGTATGCCAGTTGACATGTAACTGCCATGCAATTGCTCTTCGGCGTGAAAAATAACCCCTTGAAATAACCCACTATGTACACAAAACAATAAGAAAAACATAGTGTGGTATGCCGTCTATTAACTTCAACAAGTTTGGCAAGACGTCTTCAGACAAAATAACATTATTTGAGCTCATGCTTATTAACTTTTAAAGCACACTTGAAGCTCGAGATAATTTCAATATCCGATAATCATGAGAAGTTTCGTGATTAGCTGTTTGATTGTCTTCTGAAATGGTTATGATTCACGTAGATTAGAGAGAGCTAAGTTACGAAAGTTTGCTGGAAGTCACGTTGGCCATGCGTGATGTAACCATTATCAAAGCCATATATACACACAGATCGGGCAACTTTGTTACAGTTGGTCACAAAATATGGCATCTATTCTTTTGTTTTGTGCTTGCCCAACAAAGCAGAATTTGCCATATTGTGCCCAACTCGAACCGGTAAGTTGGCCAAACTCTCCTCCATTGTTTTGTACTCAAATCGCAAAAAGTTTTCTGCATTCTCGAAGTGGACCCAGTATTACTTTCGCGGAGGATATGTAAAACTACATATGTTAAGCAGAAGGTCTACTTCACATCTAATCGTATTGAATGCAAAATTTCGTCGAAAACATTATTCGTTACTCGGAAATCCCATGACACTTCTGGTCAGTTTTACCCAAGAACTTCTTAAAAGAATGACCATATATTTCATGAAGTTAAAAAGAGACCGAATATTACATCGAGAAAGGGTTTCCAGACCCCCTAACATCAAAGAGTACTTTGAATAAACTTTGGCTGCCCCCAATATTGGTGTAAAGAAAATACCTTTTCAGGGTCTCGCTCGTCAAGAGGGTCTGTCCTTGCCTTACGTAACGGCAACACAAGGGCATGCGTGCGGCCTTCAACTTACGAAGAGTGGAGTCCCTGGTTTGAGGACAGACTCTGCCCTTCCCTCACGGTCGGGTTGTACCCTTGCTCGGAGGTCGGGCTGCTCGAAAACGGTATAGATATATAGCTCCGTAGACAAGCCGGGATCAAGAAAGCGGGAAAACTTCTTCTCGAGTCTTTGCTGTCGCCATCAAAATGCTAGCGTTCTAATCAAACATCTTATTTATACCAAGTATTAAAGAGCACGATTACTCGACACCAAATATTGAGCTGCCCTTCTTCCTAATATCTGAGTTAATGAATGGAACGAAAATATTTTAAATTCTCTCTTCTGTTACCAATAATTTGTGTGTATGGTTAAGCCGCAATACAGCTTGCATGATATACAGTATATTGAGTGATTAGAGACGAGAGCAATGATATCGACAGTGTCCGTAACATTTTAATGAATTTGTAACAATAATATAGGATTTCCCGGCCAAATTCGCGATTTTGTCATTAATATGAATTTTGTCTTGCGTTCAAATTCGACGGTTTTTAGTGCTGTCATGTATATCTCGGGCTTGTATTCCTTTGTCTAGTTTTCAAATCTATGAAGTTTTCGTTAATATCCATGTATGTTTCATTCAAATTAATGAACAATGTGCTTCTTTCGCTATTTGGTCATTCGATTTGGCGCAACACGATTTTTTTGACATCGCGACGATGTACCTCTAGCATTCTAATTTATTTGTAGCATTCAAATTAGCGTTTTGTGCACTTAAATTGATGTTCAATATATATTTCTAGTTTATTACACACTTTTTATATCTCATTCTTTTTCTTTCAAGATTGTTTTGTTCATGTGTATTTCATCACATTTTATTTTCTTGCATTTATACACTTCATATACTTTTAGATTTATCTGATATTCTTCATCCTTTAAGTTTGATTGTTAAAGGGAAAAAAAAACTTACTTCTACGGACTTGATGGTCAATGTTCATGTAAGGAAGTTGTTTGTCTTGTGTATCATCATAATTTATCACAATTAGTTAATCTGAGAACATTAATATTTACAGTTTTCTTAGCCTATTTCCAGAGATCATATAGTTATATGATACCTTGTAAAAGCTGGAAAATCTTATGAAAATCTTCAAATTTTCGGAGCAAATTCGACCCGTGCAGCTCTCATGAAGCGCACACTCTCAATCTCGCACACTCTCAATGTGGCACACTGTGTCAAATATGTACGACTATGTGGAAGACCAAATGATCTGAAACCCACACTTTGACAATACTGTAATCACAGAGTTAGCACATAGTTAAATACATACCACACTGTGGTAAATATGTGTCACTCTGTGTGAAATATGACCGATTATGTGGTAAACCAAACCCCACAGTGTGACAATACTGTGAGCACATAGTTTTCACATAGTTCAGTACATATCACACTATGTTAAATATGTGTCATTTTGTGTTAAATATGTACGACTATGTGGTAAACCACATGATCTGAACCCCACAGTGTGACAAAACTGTGGCCACAGAGTTAACACATAGTTCAATTCATACCACACTGTGGTAAATATGTGTCACTCTGTGTTAAATATGTACGACTATGTGGTAAACCACATGATCTGAACCCCACACTGTGATAATTCTGTGAACTCAGAGCTAACAGATAGTTCAATACATATACTACAGTGGTAAATATGTGGTACTCTGTGTTTAGTATGTCGGTTTATGTGGATAATATGTGGTAAATCCTATGGTCTGAAACTCCACACTGTGACAACAATGTGAACACATACTGTCCACACAGTTTACACATAGTCGACTATGTGAATATAGTGTGGCAACACTGTGATTGTTCCATAATGGTACTACTGCTACTACTATTACTACTACTACTTATATTGCTGCTACTGCTACTACTTATACTACTACTACTACTACTACTACTACTGCCAATAATTATAAGCCTAATATAGGATTTCCCGGCCAAATTCGCGTGTTTGTCATTCGAATTCATTTACTTTGCATTTAAGTTAGCGCAGATCGGCTTTGCCATGCCAATCATCATTCAATTTTCCAGCTTTTGTATTTAATTTAGGATTTTGGTCGAAGGGTTTCATAGATCTGTCATTCAATTTAGAAACTGCTCAACTAGCATTCAAATTAATATTCACTTGTCGAAGCGTAATTTTTATCATTCAAATTAACACCTGTCATTCGTATTCGTAATATTTTTTATTCAAATTAGGAATGTAAGGGGGAAGAATTGCAACAAACTTTTACAGTATTTAAATAATGCAGCTAAAATGCATGATTTGCCATTAGGGTCTAAACTGTTATTCCATTTAGTTATTTTCAAGACAATGCAGATGGGTGTAGTCAGACATAAAGTAGAGAAGGAGCGAAATCAAGGGATATGGCATTTCTGCACGGACATGTTAATATACCCGGGAAAGGTGGGGGTACCCTCAATCGCCCCTTTTTTTTTACTTTTTTTTTTTTTTTTACTACAGACTCGGAATTTTACAAAAGTAATTCACATCGTCTCTTATACCCAGCACACCCCTCTGTTTTTCTTAAAGAGTTTCATAGTTTACCTGCCCGCCAGCAGATCGATGGCTAAGACATGGCTAAATAATGAATCATGTTCAAATTGTTGACTCTAGTCCCTCACTACTCCAGTCACAATATTATACCCTTCTTCCATAATAAAATTATGATGAAATTATGATCAATTTATGATAAAACATAAGACAAACAACTTCCTTACATGAACATTTACAAATATACTGAGACCATCAGGTCCGTAGATGCAAGTCGTTTTTTTCTTCTTAACAATCAAACTTAAATGCTGATGAATATCAGATAAATCTAATAATAATAAGTGTATAAATGCAAGAAAATGAAATATGATGAAATACACATCAAAAAACAATCTTGAAAGAAAAAGAATGAGCTATAAAAAGTGTGTAATAAACGAGAAATGTATAATGACCATCAATTTAAGTGCACAAAGTGCTAATTTGAATGCTACAAATGAATTAGAATGCTAGAAGTACACCGTCGCGTTGTCAGAAAATCGTGTTGCGCCAAATCGAATGACCAAATAGCGAAAGAAGCATAATGTTCGTTAATTTGAATGAAACATACGTAGATTCTAACGAAAAGTCCATAGATTTGAAAACTAAAAAAGGGAATATAAACCCGAGATATACCTGACTGCACTAAAACCGTCGAATTTGAACGGAAGACAAACTAATTTGAATGACAAACTCGCGAATTTGGCCGGGAAATCCTATATTATTAATGGTACGAAGGCGATCAGAAAATAATACTATTACTCTGGCTTTAGCCCAGCTTAGTCCAAAATCCTGCAGATATAATTTCAACAATCTGCACTATCACGCGATCACCCGGTTCAAGCCGAAGATGGCGTGAAACAAGAATGTGTAGGCCCGGCGAAACGAATTTGTGGATCATGTCATATTCGGCTTGCAGCAGGTAGGGCCTAGGGAGAGGTCCCGAAATCAAATCGGTAAGATTCTGGACTAGTCTACTCAAGGCTGCTGAAAGAATTTGAGGAATAATTACTACCTGGTAAGTACCCATTTACTATACCTTAAGGGGATTTCACACCGGGCCTTGCGTAGAGTTGCGTAGTGTTGCGTACCGACTACGCCGAGCGTAAGCAACCCTACGCCGGCCTACGCAACTGTACGCTGAGGGACGCAAATGGGTACGCGAGATGGACGCATATGTTTAATACATCCTTCTGTGTACAATGCTTCTTACTTTACCAAGACTGGGCCAAATTTATTATGATTTTGATGACTCCGGAACCTTGCATTGCACACCAATACTTACATGCTACATGATCAACTTTTTTCTGATCCATTCCACACCTTTTCCTTCACAATGCCACCGCATTACCAGAATTCACCTTTATGTTTAAGAAGTTGTTTCTATGCTGTGAGTTTGATCAATGTAAAAGTCACATTGCCATAACATTATTCTAAAAGTATTTAAACATAATTTAAAGCACCTTTATTACTCTAAAAAAAAACAGAAATAGTTTGGGCCACATTGTTTTAAAATCGTTTTACGTTCATTGGCTGCATGTATCTCTTTCAATAAGTGCTTGAACTATAACTATAACAATCCCATTTTCATTCAAATTGTATTTAAGATGTCTTGATTTGTAACTTTCCCTTATCAACTACACATGGAGGTAATGAGAGACCTTTGGTGATGGCGTCATTAATCATTCTTATCTTATTAATCAGTTACATCATGACCACAGTTTTGTTAATTGTTACCAAATACAGAGAAGAAGTTACTAAGGAGAATACAAAGCTCTCTGTATGTGTAACATTTTTCATGTTTATGTAAATTATGCAAATGTGTTTAAGGGTCTCCAATTCCTTACACCTTCCCTACCTACTTGGAAGATATTTATAATTATTTTGAAGGAAAATTATATTTTTGTTTACATGTGTGCGTTCTCACATTTACTCTTTTCATGACGAAAGAGTGTTTCTTTGACTTTATTTTGTATTTTTAATTTAACAAGGTAATTTTGACTGATTAATTATTAAATTATTCAATTTGTGATTTTGACATCTCAGGCTGTAGAAATAAAAAAGAAGAAGATAAGATTCCCAAACTGATGCCTCTTGCGAAATGTTATGACGTTTTGTGGAAATCTGTATGTATTTGTGTGGGTTTATTTGCTTGAGTGTACGTTTGTGGTCTTGTTTTTATGTTTGTAACAGGGCTCAAATTAATTTTTTGTCCACGGGGGCTCTTCCCTCCAAAAAAGAACCCCCGTGAGAAGGCTCACGGGGGCTCTTTTAGTACTGACGGGGGCTCTTTTTTTATTCAAATATCCATTGAATTGGTACCTATGATACTCCTCAATTATTTGCTATTTCATCATTATCATTTCAATCAGCATTTTCTCTCTTACAAATTTACAAGCTACATACCTGTTACTGGCCTGTGTATATAATCTATACGCATACAACACTGATCTATATGATGTCTTTAACGAGACATATCTTCTTCTCCCTTTGCAAACGAGAAAGAAAACAAGGTCATTGAATGGGATTAAGCGACGAATAATGATTGTTATTCAAATTGATGCGACTATTTGTTTGAATAAGTACTGCTATTCACCCGAATCTTCTTTGTAAAAACAACTTTTACAAATCTCAGCCATGCTTACTGAGTTGAGACGTTCCATTCAATGTAAAAAATACTCATTAAAGAATACACTTCATTAAAGAATACACTTCTCCTAATCTGAAAGTGATCTTACAACACAGTGGCAGATTTGCATGGCTGAGATTTGTAAAAGTCGTTTTTACAAAGAAGATTCTGGTAAAAAGCATTGCTTATTCAAAAAAATCCTTGCATCAATTTGAATCACAATGATTATTTGTCGCATGATCCTTTTATTAAATAACCTTGTTTTCGTTTTTGTTTGCAGGGGGAGAAGAAGCTATGTCACGTTACGAAATCATTAAGATCAGTTGTATAATGCGTATATACATTTATAATACCAGAACAAATGTTGAGTATCAGAATGTCATTTTGGAATACCTCTACACAAATACCACATTGTCTTTAGCCCGTATCAGTATTAGTATGATCCAATATAAAGCTATTATTCTTTATTTATTTCAGTATAATGCTTTTCCTCAAAAATAGTTTTGCTATTTTTTAGGGTTGAGACGCTAAGAAATGGTTTCAAATGTACATCATTACACGAACCCTGCATGAACCATTGCAAAATGATGGTGGTTCTCTCTCTCTCTCCTTATTTTAATAATGCATTATCAACTACATATAAAGCAGCAACCAAAAACTTAGGGTTATCTGAGATAGGTGAAAGTAAGAGTTAAAAAGAAAGTCATGCTAAAACGGCGCTTCACTCCCCCCCCCCTGAAAAAAATAAAATAGATTAGTAGTCCTCTTCTCCAGCATCCCCCCCCCCGCTTTAATATCACATTTTCACTTGGCAGCCCAAGGGGGCCGGGGAGGGGGGGGGGGGTGGGAGGAGGGGGTTAAACCCCTAACCCCCCCCCGTAGATCTGCCCATGTTACCATATCATTCTACGACATCTTGGTCTTCCTCTTCTTCTCAATAGGGACTTTTAGATTTGCGTGGACGTGCACTGGCAGTCACATGTGACGTCCTTTTAAGCACTGGCACTGCCTTAAAAGGAGGTCACACGTTGCAGTCCACGTTCTCATCGTGCAAATCTAAAAGTCCCTAATATTGATTTACTGGTCGAGGTTTATTATTTGCTGGTCATTTGAAATCACCATATTTCAGCGGGTTAACGCTTTCACAACGAAAAACTTCTCCATGACCATGTTTCTGCCCCTGCGCGATCGCCTCCAGCTCCAGCAGACATGGAGCGGCAGCGTGCACACATACCGCTACTAACGGCGCAGTAGGCCTATAACCACTGCTGACGGCGGCACTGCACTGCGAGCTGAATCGGTAATAATAATAATTTTTGAGCGGATGAAATCACAGTGCAGTGGCGGATCCAGGGGGGGGGGCCGAAACGGCCGCGGCCCCCCCTATTGGCGGCGCAAAAAAAAAGAGAAAAAAAAGAAAGGAGAAGAGAAGAAAAAAAGGAGAAGAGAAAAGAAAAGAGAAGAGAAAAGAAAAGAGAAGAGAAAAGAAAGAGAGAGAGAGAGAAAGAAAAAAGAAGAAGATACCCCCCCCCCCCCCCACCTCACTCCCACTCCGGGGTCGGAGGGACCGATTTTGTGTTCCCAAAATTTCCGATAAAGGGTTACTTTTCACGCAACAAAGTCCGGCCCGTAATACACACAAATCCGGCCCGCTCTGACTTTACACACCGAAGATAAAGGGGTGCTTTTAAACTAAGAGAGGGAACATACATGCGCGTACCCTAGATAACACTGAGTGGGTGGGGGGGGGGGGGGGGGGGGGGAGGGGGAAGGTGGGAAGGGGAAGAAAAAAGTCGGGTGAGAAAGGGGGAAAGACAAGGAAATGGCGCTAAGTGACAGTAACGACGAATATTAGGGAAAAACTGTAATCGGGAGATTTGGGGTCATTCCAGAAGGCTTGGAAAACGTTATTGAATAGAGGGGGCCGGGCCGGCCGCATAAAATCTCGAGCCACGGATTCAAAGTTAAACGTTACAAACAGCCCCTGCTTTTTGAAAAAAATTTAAAAGGGCACAATATTTTGGATGTCTTTCAAATAGAAGCTATATACTAAACAGTCAAATTTTAAATTAACGGTAGGGCCGCTTCACAACTCTTATTTTGCCCTTCATTTGGATTCAGCTCATACCAACTCGCTTGTGCTTATATTTGAACTCATGTTGGTAGTGATAATGGACAGCGGCGGCGATCCTGGGCCCGATAGAGGGACACGTCCCCCCGGAAATTTAGATATTTAGCTAGAAAGAAATATACATGTAGCGGAAAGAACGTACATATTGGACTAAAGGATTTTCTAGAATGCATAATTTCAGCATTCTACATTGCAAAATCTCGCTTGGTCGCCACGCCCCGGCCCTCGCCCGATAACACAAAACTAAGATATGACGCTCCCGGTTGCGATTATTTCATGGTTGGTGTATAAATAGATCTTTTTTTTCCCCTTTCATTTCTACTGACCTTATTGTATGCTATCACAATCATGTTTGTTTCATTTTCCCTTTAAAGCATGCGTAGCTAGGGGCGGTAGGGGCAGTAAGAGGACATAGGACGAAAAAAAGGGGCAGACAAAGAAACATTTTTGACAAGTCTAAAACGGTACAACAAATCATCTTCTTTCTCTAATAATTTAATGGAACATTAAGCTTCTGCGCTTTGCGCTGGAGGGGGAAACTGAATTCAGAGAAAGATTAAGAGTCGGGAATGGAACAACGAATTATTTTCTTTCTCTAATAATTATGAAAGGTCTAAGCTTCCGCGCCTCGCGCGGAAGGGGGAAAATGAATTCGAACAAGGATTAAGAATCGAGAATGGGACAACGAATCATCTTCTTTCTCTAATAATTTAATGAAGCGTCAGAAGCTTACGCGCTACGCGCGGGAGGAGGAAAACTGAATTCAGACAAGGATTTAGAGTCGAGAATGGAACAACGAATCATCTTCTTTCTCTAATAATCAGGGCTCAAATTAATTTTTTGTCCACGGGGGCTCTTCCCCCCCAAAAAGAGCCCCCTGATCCTTCTCACGGGGGCTCTTTTAGTGCTGACGGTGGCTCTTATTTTAATACAAATTTACATTGAATTGGTAACCATGAAACTCCTGAATTCCTTGGTATTTAATCATTATCATTTATTTAAGTCGGCATTTTCCCTCTTAGAAATTTACTTGTTACATAGCTGTATACTTTATCCCCGTGATCAGTGGCGGATCCAGGGGGAAAAAAGAAAGGAAAAAAAAGGGGGGAAAGATTTTTTTTTTTTTTGCTGTTGAAAAAAAAGTGTTCCCATCCCACTTGTATCACAGAGAAACAACAGTTTAAGTTAAGTCTAACGTTAACGTTAAATTTGTTATTAAAATGTAGAGTACAGCCCTTGGCCTTAGGCCTAATTTAGG